AAATTCATAATTTTTGGAAAGGCACACTTGCTCATCATAACTATGTACTTAGTTACTTCATGTAATACCCAGAAGCAGAGAAGAAGATTTTCAAAGAATTAATGCATTTTCACAATATAATCAATAGAACCCCGCCCTAACACCACAACCCCTGACCCTGGGGCCATGGAATTTACATTTTTTTAAGAGGCACTCTTGCTCATCATAACTATGTACTTAGTTACTTTATTTAATGCCCAGGAGCAGGGAAGAAGATTTTCAAAGAATTAATGCATTTTCCCTATATAACCAATAGAGCCCCGTCCTAGCACCAGAACTCCTGACCCTGGTGCCATGAATTTCACAATTATGGTAGAGGCACTCTTGCTCATCATATCTATGTATTTAGTTACTTTATTTAATACCTAGGAACAGAGAAGAAGATTTTCAAAGAATTAATGCATTTTCACTATATAATCAATAGAACCCCGCCCTAACACCACAATAATCACAATAATGGTAGAGGACTCAATGCTTATTAAAATCATGCCAACAGTTTGACTGCTTGATGTCCAGGAGTAAAGAAGAAGATTTATGATTTCATTAATTTTGGTGGTTTTAGTCCCACCCCTCAGGTCCCAGGAGGGCAGGGACCTTGAATTTCAAAATTTTCATTTCCCTTTACCCATAGATGCTATATGCCAAATTTGGTTGAAATTGGTTAAGCGGTTTCAGAGAAGAAGCTAAAAATGTTCAAATGTTAACGCACGTCGCACGACGCACGCCGATGGACGAAAACGGATAGCAATAGGTCACCTGAGTGACTCAGGTGACCTAAAAATACTTGGAATGTTTCCTTGTTATTGAATTGAGTGCAGACATTGCAACTTAGAATGATTATTATACACTGAGACAATAATTTTCAGCCATTTTTTGGGGTACATGGTCATAAGGAGAATATAGAAAATCACAACAACACTTCTTTAACCATATTCAAACATTTTTTGTTATTTTTTTTATTAACTGAAGAGTAGTGAGAAATATTATTTAAAATTAAAATCGTTTTTCTTCACTTTAAATAAAATATTAAATCCACCTTTCAATAAATATAAGCAAATGTACTCAATATTTTTCAAAGGATTTTTTAGTCATTCTACAACCCTACATTTGTAAATAAAGTCTTTGAAACAATGTTTTTAATCCTTAATATGATGAAGAACATACCCACATGATTACAAAAAGTGATTAAAATATATACCTTTCCCCGCCAACTAATGAGAGAGATGTTTTTATAGCAATACTTCTCATGTTGACCTTTTTATGCCCCCGTATCGAAGATTCGGGGGTATAAAGTTTTTGCCCTGTCCGTCCGTCTGTATGTCTGTCTGTTTGTCTGTTTATCTGTTTGTCTTTTTTTTCCGCAAAAACTTTAACATTGCTCATAACTTTTGATTGGTTAAAGCTATGACTTTCGTATTTCACATGTGTATTCCTTGTGACAAGATCTTTCTTTGGGCGTCTTCATATTTGACCTTTTGACTTTGACCTTGGAGTTTGACCCATTTTTACAAAAAATATTACCAACTTTAATTTTGAGCATAACTTTTGAAAGGTAGGTGCTAGGGCTTTCATACTTCACATGTGTATTCCTTATGGCAAGACCTTCCTTCGGATACTAACAATTTTGACCCTTTGACCTTGACCTTGAAGTTTGACCTAATTTTGAAAAACTTTAACATTGGGTATAGCTTTTGAACGGTTGGTGCTTGGGCTTTCATAGTTCACAATCCTTGTGTCAAGACCTTCCTTTGAATACAAACAAATTTGACCCTTTGACCTTGACCTTGGAGTTTGACCTACTTTTGAAAAACATTAACCTTGGTCGTAACTTTTGAACGGTTGGTGCTATGGCTTTCATTATTCACATATTTAATCCTTTTGACAAGACCTTCCTTTGGATACCAGCACTTTGACCCTTCGACCTTCCAGTTTGACCCACTTTTGAAAAACTTTAACATTGGCCATTTCTTTTGAACAGTTGGTGCTAGGGCTTTCATTTTTCACTTATGTAATCCGTGTGAAGAGACCTTTCTTCAGATACAAACAACTTCGATCTTGTGACCTTGGAGTTCGACCTACTTTTGAAAAAAATTAACCTTGGTCGTAACTTTTGAACAGTAAGTGCTAGGGCTTTCATTATTCACATATATAATCCTTTTGACAAGACCTTCCTTTGGATACAAACAACTTTGACCTTTTGACCTTGGCCTTCGAGTTTGACCTACTTTTGTAAAACTTTAACATTAGCCATATCTTTTGAACGGTTGGTGCTAGGGCTTTCATTCTTCACTTATGTAATCCTTGTGACAGGACATTCCTTTGGATACCAACAACTTTGATCTTGTGACCTTGACCTTGGAGTTTGACCTTATTTTTTAAAAAATTGACATTGGCTATAACTTTTAAACGGTTGATGCTAGGGCCTTCATAGTTCACTTATGTGTACCCGTTGTGACAAGACCTTCCTTTGGATACCAACAACTTTGACCTTGACCTTGGAGTTTGACCTCCTTTTGAAAAACTTTAACATTGGCCATTTCTTTTGAACCGTTGGTGCTAGGGCTTTCATACTTCACATATGTTATCCTAGTGACAAGACCTTCCTTTAGATACCAACAATTTTAGCCCAATGACCTTGACCTTGGAGTTTGGCCTACTTTCGGAAAACTTTAACCTTGGCCATATCTTTTGAACCGTTGGTGCTAGGACCTTTACATTTAACATGTATATTTCTTGTGAGAAGGCCTTTCCTTGGGCACCATTAATTTTGCATTTGACCTTGAGGTTTGACTTACTTTTAAAAATTTTTAACCTTTTCCATATCTTTCCAATGGTTGCTGCTAGGGATTTCATATCTTACAAGTATATTCCTCGGAACAAGCCTTATTTTGGGTACCAACATATTTGATTTGCATTTGAGAAAGTTTAACCTTCGCTGTAAGTTGCCATACGGGGGCATCAGTGTTTCACAAACACATCTTGTTGCAATTGCACAGGATTTCATTATTGAATGAATGTTTTAGTGTGACTTTCAGATTTACAATTTGAAGATTTAGCAAAAATGTAAATTTTCGTATAAAAAAATTAATATTCTAGCTAAATATTATTATAATTATACACAAACCACTAAAAATCCATATGAATAAACTTCAATTCATAGTACATAGTAGATATTATAAACGTTTAACACAATCTTTAATTAAATTAAGACTCAGATGTCATATTATCAAAATGTACTATTTGATGGTCAACTAAAGATTTCTTAGCAACTTTGCATTCCTTCAAAATAGTTGCACCGTTCACGGTAGCTCAGTCGGTAGAGCGCTCGCTCCGTGATCGGGAGGTCGTGAGTTCGAATCTCGGCCGCGACTGACCTAAGTCGATAAAAAAAATGGGTAGCAACTGTTCCTTCGCCATGCGCTCGACACTTTGAAGTGAAAGTTGCGGGTCCTTCGGATGAGGCCCCGTGTCACGGCAGGCGTTGGCACGATAAAGATCCCTCACTGCTCAATGGCCCTGAGTGCCGAGTAAGGGTCAAAATTTGAAGCTCTTCACCGGTATATGGTGACGTCTCTATATGAGTGAAAAATTCTCGAATGGGACGTAAAACAACATACAATCAATCAATCAATCAAAATAGTTGCATGTCATTTATTTATCATACATGTACTTGTGTATTTTCATTAGCTGAGGTAGTCTTGCATTCGTTCACTTAACTATGACGTCATACTACGTTAAAACAGAAGGGGCCTACTTTACAAAACAGTGAACACCAAATCTCAATTTGTTTTCTTTTATGAAAGTTATTCGATAAGTTCGCAAAGTTTTTGATCACCCTACGTACATGTAGATATTAAACAGTTAAAAAAAAACTACAGCTATAGATGTACAATGTACACCTCTGACAACTTCGAGTTGTATACACTTTCACAGTTATTGTATATGCCAAGTTAGAATAATCAATTGCATCCATATAAAATGTATTTCTTCGCAAAAATTACAAATATATACATGATATAGCTCTGATCAGCTTTAAAAAAATATGCAGTGAAATATTGCTCTAAACATTAATTAGTTTGGATTTGTTTGTCTTCTAGTTAAATGATTTTTTAACGAAGTAATTCAATAAAATTGCACAAGTTTACCTCTTTTGATTAAACAACGTTGATTTCTGTCCATTAATACTATGTTGCCTTTAAACATTTCCCTGGGATAAATGACAGTGTACAGAGGGTCCTTGAACTAAAAGTATTAAGGCACTACTTGAAAGTAGGTGAATATATTCGTCTAGCATTTATCCTGGATGACAACTTATAAATGATTAAAAAAAATTAAAATATCATGAAACGTTAGGAACTTATAGGGGGATAAATGACAACGTGATCAATAGACTATAATTCAATATAAATATCTATAAACAAATCCAGATAACCTGTCCCTCATTTCACATTTGGATATATCCTAATTCTGTCAAGAGCCTTACATGCACAAACATGTACAGAGTGTAACTATTTACTTTGTAATAAGGTGTACTAATGACTTGTGGTATTTTGTTTTATTGAAATATATGAATCTAAACCATACACAAGAATATTAATCATTATTATGTATTTACAAATACTTGTGTTGTGCTGATGCTTATGTCCTGGACTGCAGGATGCGGTCGGTGGTCGGGACACACGCGGACACGAGGCTAACTGAAGTAAGGGGACATCAACACTCTAATTCATGCCGGTGTTAGGTAGTTCGTACCCAGTACTATTCGGTTCCACAACACTCCTCCCCGTTTTATCTAAATCCCTTGTATAAAGCTAAAAGTTGATATTCTGGGCCAGCATTAGCAAGCCGCAAAATACAAATTAACTGAAAACATCAATTAAACAAAGTATACTTGAAAAGGAACTAATAGTAACATATTTACAGATATAACCATCCTGACCTTAAAACAATGATCTACTTGCTTAGGAAAGGTCATAATCTGCCAATGCTTTTGGCAGCCTAACACGCCGACGCTCTCTCGAGTTGGCTCTTGAAGCAGGACTTGAATTACAAGTGGCTCTAGGATCTTCACTTGAATTGTTGAGGGCACTTAAGTCTTGATTTGGAATGTTAACCTTCTGATCGCCATATAGATTGTCCAAGTAACATGCATCTTCCTCTTCCTCCTCCGCTACCTCTTGATCTTGTGGCGGTACAGCTGTTGTCACTGCATGACGCAATCTGATCAGACACACTGGGATGTCACAGTCAGAGCATCTCTTTAATTTATCATGATGAACCACTTTCTCCTTTCGTCGATTCTTTATGCGATAAAGGACTGGGGACAACTTCTCAGTCACGACAAATGGACCAATCCAAGGTTTTTGTAGCTTTTTGGAATGTCCTATTTTTGTTGACGAATCTATCATGTAGACTAAGTCTACAACATCATATGTGTGGTTGTGAAGCCGCAAATCATAGGTCCGTTTTTGACGCATTTGTGCATTATGTAGATTTTCTCTGGCAATTGTGTGGACCTGTGACATTACTTCTTCTAGCTCCTCAACATAGTCGGAAGGTACTCGAGGCTGCTGGTTTTCACCCATACCCATCATGATGTCTACAGGTTGTAGAATCTCTCTCCCTAGCATCATTTTGTTGGCGGTAAATCCAGTTTGTCTGTTTACTGTGGCCCTTATAGCACCAGCAATGAGCTGCAAATGTCGATCCCAATGTCGCTGGTAACGCACATTCTTTAGATAGCAACGGATTGACTGCAAAATAGTTCTATTGTACCGCTCTATTTGGCCATTTGCACATGGTCTGTATGGAGTTGTGCGTGTTTTTGTGATCTCTAGCATTTTACAGAGTCGTTGGAATAAGTCACTCATGAAGTTCCTTCCTTGGTCCGAGTGGATCTGAAGACGGCATCCCATTCGTGCAATGAATCCTTCAACTAGTGACAGAGCTACTTGTTCTGCTTCTTGGTTAGGAATGGCATAGGATTCTAGCCACTTTGTAAACTGGTCAATCATCATTACAATGTAGCGATTCCCTCTAGCTGATTCTATGAAAGGCCCTAGAATATCTATATGTATTCTTTCCATAGGGATGCCTGCATGATACTGGCCAAGTGGAGCTTTTGGTTGAATATGAGGTTTTTTACTTGTACTGCATTCCCTGCAAGACTGGACATAATTTTTGCAGTCTTGGGATATACCATACTAAATATACTTTGAGCAAAGTCTCTGCAATGTCTTCTGTTGTCCATGGTGACTTGCGCATTTGGAATCATGGCAGCCTGCAAGCACCGTTTCTCTTAGCGCTTTTGGAACAAGCAGCAGGGGTGTCTTAGATGTTGTATCATCATCAACCCAGATGTAGTAAAGAACTCCATCAACAGTTGTAAGTTGCTCTTTTGTGTTCCACCAGTGTTTTACGGCTGGACTAGAAAGAGAAAGCTCTATTTCACTAGCACCACATTCTGTTTTCCAACGGAGAAGATATTTCAGATCCTGATCCCTTAACTCCTTGTGACTAAATGTTTTCGACCAGTTACATCCATCAGTGACCTTATCTAGTTTGGAATCTTCCAAGCACCATTCCGTTTGTGCCTTACGGACAGCTAGTGAAACAACATCATCAATGTCCTCTTCAAACCTACTCCACTGTTCATGGACCCTCTGAAAGTATTTACATCCACCACAAGGCAGCTCACTTATACCTTTTCCAGCATTAGCAATTACATGAGGGATCTGTCGTTGGTATCCTCGAGAGTCCATCGGCATTGCTGTGTGCCTTTCCACTGCGATGTTGAATTGTCTTATTGTACTGGGACAGTTCTTCCAGCCATCTCGCAAGTTGCCCCTCTATATTCTTAAAACCGAGGAGCCATGCTAGGCTGTGGTGATCTGTGCGAACAATAAAAGGTTGTCCTAGGAGGTAGAATCTGAACTGTCGTGTGAAGACGACAATGGCAAGTAGTTCCTTTCTTGTTACACAGTAACGTCTTTGGGTAGCTGATAAGGTTTTACTTGCATAGCTTTTGAGTACTTCTTCCCCATTCTGTACTTGTGACAATTCTGCACCTAATGAATGATCAGATGCATCCGTGTCAAGTATAAATAAACCATCGGACTGTGGGAATGCTAATATTGCTGGCTCGGACATTGATTTTCTTAGGGAATGAAAACTATTGTCTTGCGCTTCATCCCAAACAAATGCACTTTTTGATTTTGTAAGATCATACAGTGGGGAGGCCAGGGCTGCATAATTCTTAATGTGTTCTCTGTGATAATTCATGTCTCCCAAGAAAGTCTCTACATCTTTTCTGTTTCTCGGTACGGGCCACTGGGCTACACACTGTATACTCTCCGGAGTCACGGATACACCTTTCTCACTGACAACTCTGCCCAAAAACTGTATCTCTTTTCTGAACATGCAGCATTTCCTAGGTTTTAATTTCAAGTTATGTTTTCTAAACCTGGTTAGGACAGCTCTAAGGTTGAGAAGGTGGTTGTCAAATGAATTTCCAAGGACAATGACATCATCCAGATATGCCAAGCATTCCTTCCAATTTAATCCATGTAAGACAAGCTGGATCATCCGTTGGAATGTGGCTGGGCTGTTACAAGTGCCAAATGGCATTCTAACAAACTCAAACAATCCTTATTTTGTTATGAAGGCCAGTTTATAACGGTCATCTGGGTCCACCTCTATTTGGTAGTAGCCTTGAGCCATATCTAATGTGCTTAAAAAGATATTTCCACTTAAGGTGTCCATGCATTCTTCAATATTTGGGAGGGGAAATGCATCTTTTTTGGTAAGACTGTTCACTTTTCGAAAGTCAATACAGTACCACACAGTGCCATCTTTTTTGCGAACGAGTACTGGTGCAGAGGCCCATTCCGACTTTGACGAGACAATGACTCCATTATCTAATAGATTTTTCAAGTGGGCTTCTTCCTCCTTCTCAAAGCCTAGCGGAGTACGTCTTAGTTTTGCACGGACTGGTTGTGCATCCCCTGTGTTTACTTTATGTGTGATTCCTTTGAAAAGGCCTATGTCCATGTCATCTGCTGCAAATACATCCTGAAATTCAATGAGTAAGTCGTGTACTTTATCGGCTTGGTTCTTGGAGAGATTTTCAACTGAACTCCTTTCCAAGTCTAACGGATAGCTAGGTAGGTGTTTGGAGGTCTTACAACTGTGTCCATCATCCTGATTTTTGTGCAGGGTCCTCAATCACTCCATCAAATGAAGTTGCTGTTCCAAGAACATGGTTTTTTGGCAGGATTACTCTATGTGCTGACACATTTTTGAGCAAGATAGGCACATTAGCGGATTCTTGTTTTGTTATAGCATAAGGAGAGAGTAATCCTTTCATGCTTCGAGATGGTTGTATTAAAACTTCTTCTTCCAAGATGTTATCTAATTTGCCTATTATGTGTACTGAAGTATGTGGTGGAATCCGAAGTTTGGTTTTAAGTAACACTCTGGCTACACTGACTGGTTTCTTCTCAGCTTTTAGCACCTCGGTTTTAAGTTTAATTCCTTGAATGCTGATACTTTGGTCATTGAGGTCAGTAAGAGCATTGTTGGCTCTAAGGAAGTCAAGACCAATAATCACTTGATCAGTTATGTCTGCAACTATAACAGGCCATTTAAATTTAATACCTTCAATTTCAATGTTGGCATCATTTGAGTAGTTAGCTTTCAACCAACTGTTCTCTCCTACACCCTTAAGAGTCACCTCCTTACCAATGTTTAATGGCGGAGTCAAAGAGTTTGCGAACTTTCTGTTTATGACCGATATTTTTGCTGCTGTATCGACAATGGCTTTTTCTGGTTTTCCATTAACTTCACATTGATCATCAAATTTTGTGGTTCAATTTTGCATTGATAGAGTCTCATATCAAATGTAGGGCTTACTTTAGCTTGTGGTGATGGTGATCTTGATTTACGCTGTTGTTTGCAGTCCTTTGCAAAATGACCTTTTCCCCACTGTTATAACAAGCACCATCTTTTACTGGAGAGGATAATCTGGATTGGGATGTTGTCCTCTGAGGGGATCTCGAACGGTTTGAGATGAGCCCAATAAGTTTGTCAATCTTGGTATTGGCTGCTTCCAGACCTAGTTTCAAGGAATCAACGTCTGCAGCGAGCTTGTCAACACGACTTTGGGGACGAACTGTACGAGAGCTAAATTCATGCTCCTCGTCACTGTCGCTGTATGCATCGTTAAACCGAACTTTCCTGACTTCTGGTTTACGGGCCCCGAGAATTAGCCTTTGGTTATTTATTGCTGCTTTGACCAGTTGTAGTGCACTTCTAAAGTTGTTGGGTCTTTATCCATAGCTGTTAATGCTGCACGCTTGTTTTCAATACCTTTGAGGAAGGTATCAGTGGCAATGGTATCTATAACACTTTCTGGAGCATCCGGATATCCCTCGGTACGCAGCCATGTTAAGGCTTCCCGAAGCTTTAAAATGCGCTCAAAACATAATATATCATTGCGAGGTCGGTTTTGGTTTTAATTTATAACTATTAAACTTTAGTACTCCCAATTTATATCAAGGGTTTCCTCGGCTATATATTAACACATTTTTTATGATATCACATGACTTTGTTGATCACGTGACGATCATTTATATTTTTTTGCAGTGTTTTAATAAATCGCTTCGGCGCAGCTGATTAACACAATAATTATTAACATTTTGTTATATAAATAAACTCATCGTATCCTTGTGTATCCGAAATGTGCTTGGGAAAAGTCATAGTATTACTTGGGTACAAAATATTTCCCGAGAAATTCAACTTACCTACAAATTTGAGGTTATTTTCCACTCAGTATCGTAATCTGTATTAAAACAAAGCCAACACATATTTTTCCCAAGCAAGATTCAGTTAGAGAACAACCTCTTCTTACAGATTTCCACAAAAATTCTCAGATTAATACTTTTATACACACAAAATAAATTCTACCTCCAACCACGGGTATAAAACAGGGTACATTTCAAAAGTATATTTTTCATAAGCATTTTGAACATGCTGAATTTCAATCAATGGTAGATAAGCGGTGTATTTTTAAAATATTCGGACATATAAGACTTAAAAAACCTTTAATGACCGTGAATTTTGCAATAGCTATCTAGCATTTTACCTGCAGTTTAAAATAAAGTGTAAAGTTTATGTCACTCTCCCCGTCATAACACCTCAAGTTTGCAGTGACTTGACGTCATTTTCCATTATGACGTCATATTTTTGTAGTTCAGAGATGTGAAGGCACAGAGTGCACTGTGATTTTCTACGGGAAGCCTTAACCTACCTGCGTAACCATTTCTTGCACTAGTTCTGCAAATTCCTCAACTGTTTTATTATCTTGTTTGATGTCTTGAAGTTTTCTCCTTACAGTTAAGGGCAATTCCTTTTGACCGAATCTAGACTTGAATTTCTTGCATAGGTCCTTGTAGTTATTTTGGACTGGTTTGGCACAGGTGCAATAGAATTTAAGAGCTTTATCTCTTAAGGACTTAATAAGTCTCTCCAAGCGTTGATCCTCAGACCATTTATATCTGTCTGCAATCCTATCAAACTGGGTTTTGAACGGGCACCATTCACTGCGTCCATCAAATGTAGCCATCTTAGGAGGGGGAGGTCCGTCAATGTGAGTGTTAAACGGGCCAGATTGTTTCAAGCGACTATTAGCCCCACTTGTAGAGGTTATTTTCCCAGGTTTAGTTTGTGTTAAACTGCTAGTTGGGCCAGGCTTAGCCAAGCCACTGTCAGCAGAAACACAACTTGATAATCCCCCACTGGCTTCTGTTCTTTTCTCCAGCTTTAAACTTTTTTGGCCATCATCTTTGATACCATAGATACCATGTGGTGCTAGTTTATCAACAATTTCTCCAGTGACTAATGATTATGATTTTTTCTCTGACAGTTTTCTTTCCAAGTCTCCCATCTTTTTAGTCATCCTGTTCATCTCTTCTTCATAATTTCTCTGCATAGTTCTGTAGTGCTCATGAACTTGATC